AACTCTGCTAAATTTCCAGTTTCATCATTTGCAAGTCCCGCCTTCCACAGAACACTAGAACACAATTCAGCCAAGTTCTTTGCCACTTTATAGCAACGATGGCCTTTCCTCCAGTTTCCAATCACCTGTTCTTCATTTTCATCTGAGATCTCTCCGCAGTAGCCTTTAGCATCCATATTTTTGCTTGTTGTCCTTTCCTGGCAACCTAGTTTTCCTAGCGTGCACCTCAGAGCGCTTTTAGCTTCTCCCCACCATCCAGTTCCACAGCCACCTCTGTATTTTCAGGTGTTTGTTGCAGCAGCACCCCACTTCCCAAAATCTGTTAGTCTCCTCAGTCTGCCAGAACAAAGTTTTGGGTCGTAGCCCTGCCTTTATGACCTCATTAAAGCTGCACTACTTAGAGGCCCCACCTCCAAGGTTTAGGGCTTCCACCTGTGGATTTAGGGGGAGGGGATACAAACATTCAGTTCATTACAGCCCCCTATAAACGTCGTCTCAAGAGGAGGGAACCTGCAGAGAAAGGGGAGCCTGGCCCTTTGGACCAAGGCTGCAGGATCACCATGCGTCCCTGAACAACTTTCCGAGCTTCTTGGAGCACTGTTGTTCTGCTTGAAGGGGTTGTAGTGAAACGTAAAAAAAATCTCCTTTATTTAATGACAACTCATTTTCATACAGGGCAAAGCCAGAGACAGAGCTGCCCTTTTGGGTCAGAACCTCCTGTAATTTCCCATCTTACTTAGTTTGGAAGCCACAGTCCTGACTGCACGTACGAGGCCTCAGGTGTGGTCCTCCCCACTAATGCCGCTGACCTTCCCCCTCACCACCCGCCCACTGCCCGCTCGGCCTGTCCACACCGGCCACCTTGCTCTTCCCCAGGTACACCCACCAGTCTCTGCCTCAGGACCTCTGCACTCGCTGTCCCTTCTGCCTGAGCATTTTTCCCACGTACTCATGTGGCTTGCTCCCTGCCACCATTTAGAGCTCTGTTCAAATGTCAAAAGGACATTGCTGAGTCCCCAGTAAAATCATAGCATCTCATATACAACTAACATAGGAGAGTTTCTCTGTCTCCTTGTTTTTCCTTCACTGTGTGTCTGCAGGCTGCATCACCTTATGTATATATTTGTATCCATCTTCTACCAGAACATATGCTCTAAAAGAGGAGAAACGTCATCTCTGCGCTGTTAATCCCCAAAAGGTCCAGAGCCTGTCCAGTATTCCGGAAGTGCTCGTTGCAGGGCTGACCGGCTCCGCGGAAGCTCCTCAGCCTACCATAACTGCCCCTGTAGTCTGGTTTCCCCACTGCACTGTGAGCCTCTCCAGGGCAGGAATTTGTCTCAAGTGTGGCTGAGTCCCCTGTACCCAGAGCAGGACCTGGCACCATGAAAGTGCCCGCTCCTGTTCAATGCATGAGGGAGGGAGTTGAGTGTGTGACAGTTCACGCAGGGCTACTATCCTGGCAGCCTCTGTGGTTTTTCCCTGCAGGCAGTGTGTGTGATTCTTCACCTGTCTCTCCATCCAGGGGCTGGCACTTAGCAGGTGCTCAGTGCGCCTTCTGTAATGGGCATGGTCAGGCGGGGCCAGACGTAGAGCTGGGCCATGCAGCTGGGGTGGTCTGTGCCACTCCCGTCCTCAGCAGGGGCTGCTGGAGGCACCAGCAGAAGGCGAGGTCAGCACTGTACCTGGTGCGTGGATGGTGCCCAGGGAGCATGGTGTCCTTGCCCTGCTGCCACCTGACCCTCCGGCTTCCCCTCATGAGCCAGGCCTATCAGCCAACCTCTGCAGCCTGAAGGTAGGTGGGCCTGGGCTTCTCCATCATCATGGCTGTGCAGATTATGAGGTACCACAAGAATTAGGGGGTTCAGGACAGGCTCAGTGGTGTGCTTCTGAGCAGGTGTCCTGTCAGGAATGCCCCTTCTCTCCTATTCTAGTTGTCATCCTCCTTCACATCCAGCCCAGGAGCCACCTCCTGCAGAGCCTTCCCTGGCCTCCCCGGTGGACCCACCTCTCCTTCCTTTCCCAGGCCCTTTGCACCCGCAAGCTAGCCTGTCCCACCTTGGTGGCTCCTGGTGGTGTACCTGTCTTTCCTTCCCACTGGACCAGGAGTTCTTGGAGGGCAGGACTGTGCTGAGGCACCCCCATGCCCAGCACTATGCCTAGTCCCAAGTAGGAAGGTTGTAAATGTTGGTTGGACTGAATTAAATCCTCCTTTTCCATGTCTGTCTGTGCCCTTGGTTCAGAGGAGGCCAACTTGCCAGTGTGGTTGGATGAGTCAGAAAATCTTCCCGAAGGACCGGTGGTGTAGGTTCCTTCCCTCTGCATCCTGGGCTCCAAGAAGATCTGGGCCTTTGACTTGGTGTTACTGTGTATTACTATGAATTTTAACAATAGTTACATATACGCTCACTGGGGCATCCCTCATTCACGGCCGATAGTGCATATCAGCACTCTTTCTTTAAAGTGCCCAGCCTTTGGGGCAGCCCCAACCAGCCTCTGCCAGCCTGGCAGCATTGCTCTGTGCACTGGAGTCTGTTTGCCAGCCTTGGGCTGGGGCTTTTACATGCCTCAACATATGCCCAACAGAATGACTCTAGAGTGGCTGATAGTAGACTCTGGGGCAGGAACTTAGGAGAAGCATAATATTTCTGTGGAGCCTTCTCCCCAGATCACCCCACATCTGCCATCTCGGGGGCCTGAGCCTTCATGGACACCAGGCACAGGCTCAGGTGCCTTCCTGGGAAGGTGGCCAAGTAGTTCCACCCCTGCTATGCCCTTGAGGAAGGGGAGCAGCAGTGTCTTTACTGACCCCCGGTCAGTGATTCCAGGCCTGGCCCCCACTTGCTGTCTGCAGGCGTTGTGACCTCTCAGAGCCTCACTTTCCCTGTCTCTCAAATGTGGGGCCCAGCCCAGCCCCCGGGTCATCACTCAGGATCAGACAAAACGTGGAGGAGGACAGTGATTTCCTGAACCATCCCATGCAGACTCCCCTTCCTGACACCGAGGAGCCAATGCCTGTTCACTCTTCAAAGCCCAATGAAAATCCCACCCACTTTGAGGAATTTCCACTTTCTTTGTGCCTCATCCCAGCCTATGTTTGCCCCAGAAATTGAGTTTGGGGTTGAGCCGCAGGGATATTCTTTCCATGTCTCTAACTAGGTTGTGAGACCTGGGTGGGTTGGGCACTTGAACCTTTTCGTCTGTGTGTAACAGGCATATAGCAGATGTTGAACTGAATGCCCAGCATATGAATTCTGATCCAATAGCCACCATTTGTCTGCTATGTGCCAGCACCTGAGCTGAAAGCATCCTCTGTGGGAACGTCAGTGGGCGCAACATGTGATGTGCGTGCAGCGCGGGGAGCCGCAGCCCGGGGAGAAGGGTTTTAGTGGTCAGGGAGGCGGAGGCAGGCCAGGGACTGTGTGGGGAGCCTTCTTACTGTCTGGAGCAGAGAATGCTTTTTCCTCAGCAACAAATTCAGACTTCTTGGGAATTACCACTTGGGCTGGTTATGGGCAATGTTTGTTTCTGTTGAGTCTGCTCAGACCTCAGGGCCGAGGGGGCAGGCTGCGGTTTCCGGAGAGACCTGGAGTTGGGTGTGGGTGTGAGGATGATGAGAGCTTGTTCCACAGACAGGAAAGCTGGGAACAGAAAGACTGACCCAGAGGCCTGCTCGGCAAGGCGTGGGCAGCCCAGGGCTGTCGCTGGGAGTTCTTTGTGAGCATGAAGAACAGTGCTGGAGACACATATTCCCAAGGTTTGGGGACTGTTGCTCTGCGCCAGGCGCTCCACACGAGTCATCCATCTCCTAAACCTTCACGACAGCCGGTGTGGCAGGCGCAAAGTCCCACAGCAAGGGTAAAGCGGGCATCCACACCAGGTCCACCCGAGTGCAGAGCCCTGACCCAGGGCCCCGGCAGGGCGAGCAGATGGATGGTGGGCACGTGCCAGTGGTCCTGGCCCTGGCCGAGATGAGGATCTGGGGTGAAGAGTGCTCTTCTGGGGACCCGAAGACTCAGTGGGGCTTCACTCGTCCCTGGGAAGGACAAGTGGGAGGCGGGAGACCCAGAGAACTGAGCTTCTTGGCTGTACAGACACAGAAAGTGAGGCACACCGAAGCCCAGGGGCCTGCTCCGGCCACATGCTCCTCACAGCTCGGAGGGTGGCGGCGGACGTGGCCTTTGGTCTGACAGAGCCAGGCTCCACTTGTAGGTCAAGCTTCACTTCTTAGTGCCTCGCTTTCCTCATCTGTAAAGTGGGCCTAGTGACCCCTGCCCCTTGTACCTTCCAGGGGGTGAGGATAGGCAGGTGAGCTCAGGTGGAAATAAAGAACAAGAAAGTAAGGAATTGGGGAAAGGACTGATTTGGCACACTGGTCCCTCCCCGGAGTAGCTGGGTATTGTTCGTAGCTTTTTACACCTTGGTGCCAGTGAGGCGGGGAGGATCCACCCCCCAGGCCCACGTCCTGGTCCTCCGCTGGTGCTGTGTGGGAGCCGAGGCATGCGGGAGCCTGCCCCGCAGTCACGGCTGAGGATGTCCACCTTCTGGGCCTTTGCCCGCAGGCTTCTCGTGGTGATCCTATGGCAGGAGGGAATGAGGGCCACCCTGGGGGCCAAGCATAATCATAGCGTCACTTTGCATTTTCTGTCTCTTTCCCTGGACTGAGTTTGATGGTGAAATGAAGTTTTTCCCTTAAACCTGAGGGTGTCCTGTGCAGTACTGGCAGCCCAAGCCATTGTGGGAAAGGCCAAGTGGCCTCCACGTAGCCCCTTGCCCATCATGGGCACCACACAAACTTGGAGTCCAGTGGGATGTGGGTGCGGATGGCAGGTGCTGCCTGGCCTGGCTCAGACGGTCTGTGAAGACCCTGACATGGGTCACTGTCCCCTGTGACTCCCTCCCCATCCGTGAAATAGGAGGAGAGCGGGAGTGGGCAGGTGGGAGTGGGGGCAGCGTGTGGACAGCTCCTCCGGACCGACTGATGGGCTGTGTTCTCCCTCCAGAGACTGATGGAGAGGCAGAGACGGAAAGCGGACATCGAGAAGGGGCTGCAGTTCATTCAGTGAGTGTGCAGGGGCGGGCTGGGCCGCAGTGTGTCCCCCAGAGTGACCCCTGGAGCCTGCACTCATCTCCCCTTATCCCTTTCCTTGCCAGCTGAGCCTTAGCTCTTCAGGCTCCTGTGTGAGTTGGGGAGCGGGGAGGTGGGGTACACTAGGAAGGGGCTGGCATGGCGAGGCCAGGGGCTAGATCTGAACCCCACCCTTGCACGTGCTCCCTGTCCCTGGTTGCCCTTCGTACTGTCCAGGATACCATTTGACCCTCACCCCCAACACCTGCCTGCGCATCCCCGTGGCTTCTCCTGCTTGCCTGGGCACATCTTACAGTGAATCAGCAGTTCCCTCTCATTGAGCTCGTCTGAATCTCAGGCTCCATGCTGGCTCTCACATCCATCTTTTCAGTCGTCACAGCAGTACAAGGTCTCATCTCCACTGTGCCGAGGAGCAAGCCAGGGCCCAGAGAGGTCAAGAAACTTGTTTACAGTAACACAGCTAATTAGTGACAGGATTCTAACCCAGGTCTGGCCGACTCCAAAATCCACTTTTGTTTCCATTATTTGCCCCCCAGAACCTACATACCATGTTTGTTTCTTCATGTTTTTCTTTACACATGAAATATTTTTACCAAGTTGTTTCTCAGGTAGATCCTCAGAGGCTGATTTATCATCAGACTAATGAGGTGTAAGTCAGGACCCCTCGATGGTGCGGGTTCTTTCCGAAGTCCTGGAAGACTCCCTAGCAATTCTCTCATTTGTCTTCTTTTCCTCGGCTAGACCGCCACACAAAACTGCGGTTTGCATCAAATATCCTCATACTAAACTCCCCAGTTTTGTTCGCTCACAAAGACCCGCCTTTCACCACACACCAGGTCTCCTTTCACACACACCCCAGTGTCCGGTTTGCTTGCGCAGAGCTTGTGTTTACGTTACACACACGCGCACACTCTGTCCTCTGCACCTCAGTGACTCTTCCTTGCTCGGGCCAGCCACCCGTGGCCCACCCCACCCCTCACTGCAGGCCGGTCTCTTCCATTTGATTTTGAGGAGGTCCTCACATTTTATTCCAAGGCTAGGCTGGTGAGCAAGGCGAACCTTGCAGATACTGTGTTTTGTAAGAATTCTGTCCTTAACTTAAGCCACTGATTTCTGCAGCGCTGGATGTCTGAGCCCCACAGACCAGGTTCCGCATCCCGGTCCCCCACTCCTAGGTGGGCTCCCTCCCTGTGAAGGGAGATAATGCCACTTCCCTCACAGGATCATTGCACTTGGGGTAAATGTTGGCAGTATGTCCTTCCCCTTTCCAAAGGGGAGTTCCAAGAAGGTTTAGCAATAGGACAGCCTCCTGGGAATCCACATGTTGGCCTCCTGAGGGACCCCTTTCAGGAGAACACAGCAGGACCTGCTCCTGGTAAAATTACTGTTTTCTCACAAGCAGACATTTATTAGGCACCTCTGGGCACAGAGCCATAAAGTGAATTGGTCGAGTGGTTGACGCTGCTTGGGTAGGGCCTTAAACACCAGGATGACCTACAGGTGTGACCTTTTGGACAGGGTGTGACTATTGAAGAGGAAGCTGATGCTGGTGGCTGGAGGCCTGCCAGGAGGGTAACATGGGGCTAGGCTGGGCCATAGGGGAAGGAAGGCAGGCCTAGGTCTCTGCTGGTGGAGAGGCAGGTGAGAAGGTGGGGCGGTGAGCCCTCTCACAATCAGGGACACCTCCTCCCACACACAGAGAACCCCCAGCATCTCCTCACCCCTTCTCACTCACTAGCTTAGGCTGCTCTTACTTGTCCAGGTGTTGGCAGCAGCTTTGGGTAACAAAAAGAGCCCCAGCCTGTACTCTGGACCTTGTTCTGATGCTGACCTGCTGTGTGACCTTGGGCAAGTCACGATCTCTCTCTGAGCATCTGTTTTCCCACCTGTGACATGAGGGGCCAGGAGACAGCCCCCAGCTTCCCTTACAGTTCAGCTGTCGAGCCTGATAGATGTGCTATGGTTCTCCCGACTGAAGCATTCTTCCTTGCTGACCTGGCACCGCAGGAGAGGAGAGGATGCCCAAGCCCCCACCTACTGTACTGAGTCTGGCATAAGGGGTTGGGCTCAGTGTGCCTAGCCTGGGCTGCAGTCATGTGTGTTTTACAGGAAGGGATGGGAAGAAGGCAGAGACCCCAAAACTAAGGAGCCTGAGGAGGTTGGTCTGTCCAGGTGCAGTAACTTCCAGAGGACTGGTTTTCTAGGCAGAGGACAGCTGGCTCTGGCTGGTCTGCTCTTTCTCAGCATGTGTACCTGGGAAAGGCCGACTGCCCCATCCTGGGACAAACACAAGGCCTTCCTCCAACTCTTCCACCACAAATGAAGGCCAGTCTGGTGTGATTTAGGGAGAAAAAACTGCTGTCTTCTCACCCAATCCGCAAGGTGGCGTCTGAGGTCTGAGCTGGGGCGGCCCATTCTTGGCACGATCTCCCTGGCTACTGGGGCTTCTGTGAGGCTGGATCCTGGGCTCACCCAGACACCCAGACCTTGTGTTTTTCTCCTTTTCTGGCTAGGTCAACACTACCCCTAAAGCAAGAAGAATATGAGGTGAGTATCAGCTGCCACACTAGGGGAAGGCCAAGGGCAGAGGTGTCTAGGAGGGGGAGGCAGGGGCTGGGTGCCAGGGCTGGGGCTGGATGGAGAAGGGGCTGAGCCCCTCTGTGTCCTGCCCCTGGCAGGCCTTTCTGCTCAAGCTGGTGCAGAACTTGTTTGCTGAAGGCAATGACTTGTTCCGGGAGAAGGACTACAAGCAGGCCCTGGTGCAGTACATGGAGGGGCTGAACGTGGCTGACTACGCTGCCTCTGACCAGGTGGCCCTGCCCCAGGAGCTGCTGTGCAAGCTGCATGTCAACCGGGCCGCCTGCTACTTCACCATGGTGAGTGTGCACCCCACCTTCCTCTCCTCCATTCCCACCCTGCTCACCATTTCCCCAGAAGCCCAGCCAAGCCAGGCCTGTACCCTGTGAGCCCTTGAAGGGCCAGCCTCTCCGCCTCCTCCTCTCGGCACCTTGCCCTCTGTGTCTGGGTTTTCCACCCCAGCTGCACAGCAGACTCACCTGGGAAGCTATTAAAGTATTAACACATAATTTTAAAAAATAGGTTTAAATGATACTGGGCAGGGCAGGAGGGGGAGCGCTAAGCCCTACCCCAGGTGCATTGAGCTAGAAGCTCGGGGTGGTCCAGGTATTGGCAGACACCCGTGGGCAGTCAGGAGGGCTGAGAACCACTCCTTTCTGTCCACCGCCTCTCTCCACAAACCTCAGGCCTCTCCTGCTCCTCTCTTCTGGGCTCCTCCCCTCCCAACACACCCTCAACTGCTCACTTCCTCTGGACTTCCAGTCTCCCCTCCTGTCCTCAAAACTCAGCCAACTCTTCCCTGTCCTACCCACCCACTGATTCATTCTCCAGACCTCATGGGAGGCTCTGCCGTGGGCTCTGTAGAGGGTCCAGGAACACCTCTGCAACCCATAATTGACTGTTCTGGATAAATGAGTCTGCCAGATGCCTGTTCACACTCTGATCTGCACATTGAGCTGCCTTCACGTTTTCACTTCCTCTCAAAGGCACCCTTGTAACCCTCAGCCCACAGGGTCTGAACTGAAGGCTGATATGGAAGTAGACATGTCTGAGCAACCAGGCCCATCCCTGTAATGTTTGAAGGCCCCCTCCAGTGGCCTGCCAGTGCCCAGCTGGACATATGGATGCCCCGAACAGTGTCTGAACGCCCACCAGTGCTCAGTCTAGCTGGGGGCAGCAGGCCTAGGGAGGGTAATGGTCGCTGACCAGCAAGCTGCCTGCTCCTCTCTGGCAGGGCCTGTATGAGAAGGCGCTGGAGGACAGTGAAAAGGCGCTGGGCCTGGACGGCGAAAACATCCGGGCACTGTTCCGCAAGGCGAGAGCCCTCAGTGAGCTGGGGCGCCACAAGGAGGCCTACGAGTGCAGCAGCCGGTGCTCCCTCGCCCTGCCCCACGTGAGTGCGGCCCTGTGTCCCCGCCAGGGACCAGCTCCCAGGCCAGGTCCAAGCTCTCAACTTGGGCCAAGGCACCACATCTTTCTGAGCCTCTTCCAACTCAGCGACGTAGAGCTGCAGATGCTGACAATAACACACAGCTCCGACTGTGTTTCAGACACTGCTAAGACTGTACTGTGGGTATTAACTCATGTAATCCTTGCAACAGCCCTGTGAGGTGGATACTATTATCACCATTTTAAAGATGAGGCAGAGCCTGGAGAGGAAGAAACTTACCCAAGATCACAGCTAGCGGGTGGGAGAGCTCAGATCTGAACCCAGGCAGTCTGGCTGTGGAACAGGCCATCTCAGCTTCTACCGTGTTGCGGTGAGGACTAAACGGGATGTCCCGTGTACCGGCGTCCTGATGGCCAGACTGTCACTAGGTAGGGAGAGACAGCGGGAAATGACTGGTAGAGAGCTCTGCTCGTTCCTGTCCAAGCACAGCTGGGCCCATGCCCTCCTCCCCATTTATTCATCCACTTAACAAGTATTTACTAAGCACCCACACAGTGCCCAGATCTGTGCCCTTCAGAGATGCAGGGTCCACTGGCAGACAAACGGAAAAAGGCCGGGGTCTCGGCCTGCCTCTACGTGATCTACCATTGGTCCCTGGCATCACCTTGGACAAAACACTTCTTTCTGTTCATCCGTTCATGTCTATAAAGTGCCCTGCCTATTTTATCCCTGAAAATAATGGCTGTGTAAGGGCTCAAAGAGAGATGAATTCTGCCCAGGGAATGCAGAAAGGACTCAGGAGTGGTCAGGATCCTGACCCCCTGGGGGAGGTTGGGCTTCATGGAGTTGGAAGAAGCAAGAAGGATTCGCATGGGCAAAACAAGGGGGAGGCCATGTGCACGATGGTCAAGGATGTTGGTGTCAGAGAGCTGGCCCGGGTCAGTTCTAATCTTGGGTCTGCCACCCTCTAGCTGTGTGACCTTGGACATGTGGCTTAGTCTCTCTGAGCCTTGATTTGCAACCCTGTCCAACAGGGGTGATAATGTACCATGGGTCATAAGGCTGTGCTGAGGATGGATTCAGAAAATCATATAAGGCAGTTGGCACAATGGCCAGACATAGTATGTATCAGAGAACATTCACTATTACCATACTGGTCATCATTCCTGATTCTCCAGTTCAGTCTAGTTCACAATTGAGAACCTTACTTAAGACAGAGCCCCGATCACACAACATTTGCTAGCATTCACAGCAGGTCCACATCCACGTCACATGGCCACCCACTCATGGGAGGGCAAGGTGGCCTTTACCCCACTCACTGTATGGGTGAGGAAGCCCGGCCAGTGAGGGCTGGTAGCCAGCCAGAGGACTTGCACTCTGAGTTGGGGAATTCCTCTGTTGTCCAGTCTTTGTGGGCCGATGCTGACTGAGCTCTGCTCCACGCTGGGCACCTGGGATCAGCAATGACTCAGACCCTGGCTCTGGGCTCCAGGAGCTCGGCAGGTTGGAGGTGACAAATGCGCAGGATGTCACAGCATCCCCATTGCCCCTTTGCTGCCCAGACCACAGTCACCCATTTCTTTGTTTTCTGGTTGGTCTTCCCCACCAGACTGGAGCCTCCATGAGGCCTGGGCCCCTTGGTCTGTTAATGTGGCTTCCCCAGCTCCTGGCTCTGGCCTGGCACAGGGACTTGGAGGGAGAGAGGAGGGCTGGGTGCTGTTACTGGGCACCAGCCACAGGCCGGGCGTGTTGCACACCTCATGTCTTCACTCTTTGGGCCCGTGCACTCTCCACATGTCCTCACATCCAAAGAGTCCAAGACAGTGTTTGGTGAAAAGGCAAATTGTAGGACAACAGGTATAATAGGATCTCACTTATGTGAAGGAGAAAGAGAAAATCCCCATGCAGCAGAACTGAGCCTCCTTGGCAGGCCCACATGCAGGTAAATGAGTTCCTAGGAATGGTGTGGGGAAACGCACGAGCCCCACAGTGCCAGAGGTGGGGTGGGGAGACCCGGGGCGCCCTCTCTGTACATTTCCGCCTTCTACAGCAACACTGCTACTTGCTGAATTCTAGACATAAAAGGATAATATTAAAATCAAAAACAAGAATTACTCCTCCTCCCTCCCCACAATGAAAGGATAAATTCAAGCATGGGCTCCTGGCCCCAGCCCCACCACGCACTAGCTAGGTGACTTGGGCAGCCAGTGTCCCCTCCTGGGGCCTTGCTCCCTGGTCTGTAACATAGGGAAGCAGCAGCCACTTTGAAGGCCACAAGTGTCTGAGCACAGCTGCAGGAACCGGGGCAGCCTAACCCTCCCCCCTGTGTCTTGCCTTCCCAGGATGAAAGTGTAACTCAGCTTGGTCAGGAGCTGGCTCAGAAGCTTGGGCTGCGAGTTCGGAAGGCATATAAGAGGCCCCAGGTAGGTGGGCGCCGAGGGCTGGAGTGGGTGGCGATGGGGAGGTCTAAAGGGAGGACCGGTGTCTTTGGAGGACACGGGAGGGTGGTCAGGGCCAGGGCAGGACAGGGGGGCGGTGGCATGTGATCTTCTTCTCTCTGTTGGCTGAAAGCCCTGAAATGACTTCCAGAACCTTTTGGAAAAGGAAAGAAAAGCCAAAGCTTCCAGCTCACCTCAGGCACCAGCTGTAAAAACCTGTTCCCTCCCTGCCCTGGTTGACTTCAACACCTGGGAGGTGGCCTGAGTTGACACGGGTGTCCTTCAGCCTTATGTTCTCAAATAACCCCCGTATGGCATGTATTTAAAATGTTGGTGTCTTTTTGGCTCGTTCAGATCCACATTTATTCTTTTGGCACCTGTTGTATGCTGGGAAGCTGCAGGTAGGAAAGGGTATGGCTCGTGGGGATAATTGTACCCACCTCAGAGGGTTCGTGGGAGGATCAAGATGAGGGAATGATTGAGATGCCACCTGGCGCAGTGCTGGCACAGTAAGGGCACATGCACGGAAGTCCTCTGCTCAGGTCATGGTGCAGGAAGAAAACACCTGAATCTGACCCAGACACACAAGGCAGGTACCTGCTGTCAGGGCTGCTCAGGGCCTTGGAGGGCAATGCAGACCCAGCTGCTGGTGTAGGGGCCCCTTTGCTGCCCTGCCTGATGGGACCCTGAGCATCTTTACCTCATCTCTTCTCACCTCTCTCCAATCTCTGGCAGGAACTGGAAACCTTTTCTCTGCTCAGTAACGGCACTATAGCTGGCGTGGCAGATCAGGTAGGAGGGGTGCCAGGACCCCAAGCCTCCTCCCCACCCCCAGTACCCGCCTCATCCATCACGAGAGCTTTGGAGTCACTCTTGGGTATAACTGACTGCAAGCAGCAGGTCCAGGGGCATCAGGCTGAATGGTTGGGCTCGGTGGGTCCTAATCTGCACTGCTGTGAGCCAGCACCTGCCCTGGGAGGAGGCGGTGACTGACAGCCCAGGCCCAGCCAGCCTCATGACAGCCTGGGGACACACGGCACCTCCCCTTGCCAGAGGTTCGTTTTCACTTCCTCTCAAAGGCACCCTTGTAACCCTCAGCCCACAGGGTCTGAACTGAAGGCTGATATGGAAGTAGACATGTCTGAGCAACCAGGCCCATCCCTGTAATGTTTGAAGGCCCCCTCCAGTGGCCTGCCAGTGCCCAGCTGGACATATGGATGCCCCGAACAGTGTCTGAACGCCCACCAGTGCTCAGTCTAGCTGGGGGCAGCAGGCCTAGGGAGGGTAATGGTCGCTGACCAGCAAGCTGCCTGCTCCTCTCTGGCAGGGCCTGTATGAGAAGGCGCTGGAGGACAGTGAAAAGGCGCTGGGCCTGGACGGCGAAAACATCCGGGCACTGTTCCGCAAGGCGAGAGCCCTCAGTGAGCTGGGGCGCCACAAGGAGGCCTACGAGTGCAGCAGCCGGTGCTCCCTCGCCCTGCCCCACGTGAGTGCGGCCCTGTGTCCCCGCCAGGGACCAGCTCCCAGGCCAGGTCCAAGCTCTCAACTTGGGCCAAGGCACCACATCTTTCTGAGCCTCTTCCAACTCAGCGACGTAGAGCTGCAGATGCTGACAATAACACACAGCTCCGACTGTGTTTCAGACACTGCTAAGACTGTACTGTGGGTATTAACTCATGTAATCCTTGCAACAGCCCTGTGAGGTGGATACTATTATCACCATTTTAAAGATGAGGCAGAGCCTGGAGAGGAAGAAACTTACCCAAGATCACAGCTAGCGGGTGGGAGAGCTCAGATCTGAACCCAGGCAGTCTGGCTGTGGAACAGGCCATCTCAGCTTCTACCGTGTTGCGGTGAGGACTAAACGGGATGTCCCGTGTACCGGCGTCCTGATGGCCAGACTGTCACTAGGTAGGGAGAGACAGCGGGAAATGACTGGTAGAGAGCTCTGCTCGTTCCTGTCCAAGCACAGCTGGGCCCATGCCCTCCTCCCCATTTATTCATCCACTTAACAAGTATTTACTAAGCACCCACACAGTGCCCAGATCTGTGCCCTTCAGAGATGCAGGGTCCACTGGCAGACAAACGGAAAAAGGCCGGGGTCTCGGCCTGCCTCTACGTGATCTACCATTGGTCCCTGGCATCACCTTGGACAAAACACTTCTTTCTGTTCATCCGTTCATGTCTATAAAGTGCCCTGCCTATTTTATCCCTGAAAATAATGGCTGTGTAAGGGCTCAAAGAGAGATGAATTCTGCCCAGGGAATGCAGAAAGGACTCAGGAGTGGTCAGGATCCTGACCCCCTGGGGGAGGTTGGGCTTCATGGAGTTGGAAGAAGCAAGAAGGATTCGCATGGGCAAAACAAGGGGGAGGCCATGTGCACGATGGTCAAGGATGTTGGTGTCAGAGAGCTGGCCCGGGTCAGTTCTAATCTTGGGTCTGCCACCCTCTAGCTGTGTGACCTTGGACATGTGGCTTAGTCTCTCTGAGCCTTGATTTGCAACCCTGTCCAACAGGGGTGATAATGTACCATGGGTCATAAGGCTGTGCTGAGGATGGATTCAGAAAATCATATAAGGCAGTTGGCACAATGGCCAGACATAGTATGTATCAGAGAACATTCACTATTACCATACTGGTCATCATTCCTGATTCTCCAGTTCAGTCTAGTTCACAATTGAGAACCTTACTTAAGACAGAGCCCCGATCACACAACATTTGCTAGCATTCACAGCAGGTCCACATCCACGTCACATGGCCACCCACTCATGGGAGGGCAAGGTGGCCTTTACCCCACTCACTGTATGGGTGAGGAAGCCCGGCCAGTGAGGGCTGGTAGCCAGCCAGAGGACTTGCACTCTGAGTTGGGGAATTCCTCTGTTGTCCAGTCTTTGTGGGCCGATGCTGACTGAGCTCTGCTCCACGCTGGGCACCTGGGATCAGCAATGACTCAGACCCTGGCTCTGGGCTCCAGGAGCTCGGCAGGTTGGAGGTGACAAATGCGCAGGATGTCACAGCATCCCCATTGCCCCTTTGCTGCCCAGACCACAGTCACCCGTTTCTTTGTTTTCTGGTTGGTCTTCCCCACCAGACTGGAGCCTCCATGAGGCCTGGGCCCCTTGGTCTGTTAATGTGGCTTCCCCAGCTCCTGGCTCTGGCCTGGCACAGGGACTTGGAGGGAGAGAGGAGGGCTGGGTGCTGTTACTGGGCACCAGCCACAGGCCGGGCGTGTTGCACACCTCATGTCTTCACTCTTTGGGCCCGTGCACTCTCCACATGTCCTCACATCCAAAGAGTCCAAGACAGTGTTTGGTGAAAAGGCAAATTGTAGGACAACAGGTATAATAGGATCTCACTTATGTGAAGGAGAAAGAGAAAATCCCCATGCAGCAGAACTGAGCCTCCTTGGCAGGCCCACATGCAGGTAAATGAGTTCCTAGGAATGGTGTGGGGAAACGCACGAGCCCCACAGTGCCAGAGGCGGGGTGGGGAGACCCGGGGCGCCCTCTCTGTACATTTCCGCCTTCTACAGCAACACTGCTACTTGCTGAATTCTAGACATAAAAGGATAATATTAAAATCAAAAACAAGAATTACTCCTCCTCCCTCCCCACAATGAAAGGATAAATTCAAGCATGGGCTCCTGGCCCCAGCCCCACCACGCACTAGCTAGGTGACTTGGGCAGCCAGTGTCCCCTCCTGGGGCCTTGCTCCCTGGTCTGTAACATAGGGAAGCAGCAGCCACTTTGAAGGCCACAAGTGTCTGAGCACAGCTGCAGGAACCGGGGCAGCCTAACCCTCCCCCCTGTGTCTTGCCTTCCCAGGATGAAAGTGTAACTCAGCTTGGTCAGGAGCTGGCTCAGAAGCTTGGGCTGCGAGTTCGGAAGGCATATAAGAGGCCCCAGGTAGGTGGGCGCCGAGGGCTGGAGTGGGTGGCGATGGGGAGGTCTAAAGGGAGGACCGGTGTCTTTGGAGGACACGGGAGGGTGGTCAGGGCCAGGGCAGGACAGGGGGGCGGTGGCATGTGATCTTCTTCTCTCTGTTGGCTGAAAGCCCTGAAATGACTTCCAGAACCTTTTGGAAAAGGAAAGAAAAGCCAAAGCTTCCAGCTCACCTCAGGCACCAGCTGTAAAAACCTGTTCCCTCCCTGCCCTGGTTGACTTCAACACCTGGGAGGTGGCCTGAGTTGACACGGGTGTCCTTCAGCCTTATGTTCTCAAATAACCCCCGTATGGCATGTATTTAAAATGTTGGTGTCTTTTTGGCTCGTTCAGATCCACATTTATTCTTTTGGCACCTGTTGTATGCTGGGAAGCTGCAGGTAGGAAAGGGTATGGCTCGTGGGGATAATTGTACCCACCTCAGAGGGTTCGTGGGAGGATCAAGATGAGGGAATGATTGAGATGCCACCTGGCGCAGTGCTGGCACAGTAAGGGCACATGCACGGAAGTCCTCTGCTCAGGTCATGGTGCAGGAAGAAAACACCTGAATCTGACCCAGACACACAAGGCAGGTACCTGCTGTCAGGGCTGCTCAGGGCCTTGGAGGGCAATGCAGACCCAGCTGCTGGTGTAGGGGCCCCTTTGCTGCCCTGCCTGATGGGACCCTGAGCATCTTTACCTCATCTCTTCTCACCTCTCTCCAATCTCTGGCAGGAACTGGAAACCTTTTCTCTGCTCAGTAACGGCACTATAGCTGGCGTGGCAGATCAGGTAGGAGGGGTGCCAGGACCCCAAGCCTCCTCCCCACCCCCAGTACCCGCCTCATCCATCACGAGAGCTTTGGAGTCACTCTTGGGTATAACTGACTGCAAGCAGCAGGTCCAGGGGCATCAGGCTGAATGGTTGGGCTCGGTGGGTCCTAATCTGCACTGCTGTGAGCCAGCACCTGCCCTGGGAGGAGGCGGTGACTGACAGCCCAGGCCCAGCCAGCCTCATGACAGCCTGGGGACACACGGCACCTCCCCTTGCCAGAGGTGTTTCCTGTGCCCAAAGGGGCAGAGTGGGGACAAGCTGTGCTGCTGTTGTGGGAGTGGCCACTCGGGCGCCAGCGGGGGAGCCTCGCCCACGGCCCCGCAGCCAGGACAAGCCCTAGGCAGCCTGGCCCCCATGTCTGTCTTTCAGCTTTCTTACCCCTGCCCCCTTCCTGCTGCTGTTGCTCTTCCCCACTGACCTTTCTGGCAGGTCAGGCCTCTAGATCTCGAGTGTCCTCCATCCTCCCCACCCTGACTTTTCACTTTCCAAGGCCCAGCTCAAGTACCCACCCTGACTGGTGGGGGGCCCTTCCTGGGATGCCCTGCCCAAGTGACCTGCTGGGGTGATGCACAGAAGTGGGGGGAGAGCTCAGACCTGGGACCCTCCCAAATAAGAGCTCACCCTGCCCCTTGCTGGTTGTGTCCCTGGGCAGGTCTTTTGCCTTGGAACCTCAGCTTCTGAATCTGTGAGACAGGGGTGTTTTACCCCTCAGATGGGGCGAGGGGAGAGCACGTTATACCCTGGGAAGTGTGGCGCCCAGACGGAGCCACAATGGGCAGTAACCGCTGGTACCGCAGCGTCATCCCTGGTTTTGGACTTCCCTATCCCCACGGCCTTGCACAACCTAGTGGGGCCTGGCTCCTCCCAGGGGTGGTGGCTGGGCCCAGCAAACGCTTTGGACTCTCCCACTGCCCACCAGACAGGAGCTGCTCAGGTGGACTTTGGGGCTTTGCAGAAGATGAGGGACAGTCTGTAAGATCACTGACAGAGCCTAGTGTCCTTCCTACTTCCTCATTGCACATGACAGGAGACTGGGGCACAGAGCTGGGGGGAACTTAGCCAATGTCACACAGCAAGGCAGCAGTGGGCCTCCCTCCCTCCCTTCCTCCCTCCCTCCTATTATATTTTTTCATTCAGTCACTCAACAAACTCCCAGGGAGCCCTTCTCAGCAGGCAGAGCTGAGTCAGGCATGTCTTGGGGACCTCCTAGGTTGTGAAGGAGGAAGATTCAGTTCCATTTGTATAACATTCTTTGTGGTTTGTAGCCAGAAATTAACAGACCTGGCACATACCAGGTTCTCAAAAGAAAGAAAGAAAATGAATGTCGTGCTCTGTTTGGGCTGCTATAATCACAAAATGCCATGTGCGACTTATAAACAACAGAAATTTATTTCTCACAGTTCTGGAGACTGGGAAGTCCAAGGTCAAGGTGCTGGCAAATTTGATATCTGGTGAGAGCCTGCTTCCTGTTTCCTAGATGGCACCTTCTGGCTGTAACCTCACATGGCAGAAGGGGCCAGGGGGCTCCCTGCAGCCTCTTTTATAAGGGCACTAATCCCAATAGTGAGGGCTCCATCCCCATCACCTAATCACCCCCCAAAGGCCACACTTCCCAGCACTACCACCTTGGGGGTTAGGATTTCAACACAGAACCTTAGTGGAGGGCCATAGCATTCAGACCATAGCAGTGAATGAACAAGTGAACAATCGCAAATAATATCACAACAATGCCTTGAGGGAGGTACCGTTCACCCCCTATTACAAAGGAGAAACTGAGGCCCAAGAAGCTGAGTAACTTGTCTGAGTTCACCCAGTACGTGCTGAGCACTGAACTTGGGGCTGAGTACATGGTGAACAAAACAAACGCAGCCCCTGCCCTCAGAGCTCAGGCTGGGGCAAATGCACACTAACCTGTTTCTGGTTATAAACCATGGGGACAGCCATAAGGGTGGAGTGTGGGGAGCCAGGGGCCACTGGGCCCAGGAGGCTTGATTTAGACCAGGCATCAGGAGCCTTTAACCCAAGACCAAAAGGTTGAGGAGTAGGTAGGGCAGGGTGTGTGGATAAAATAGCATTCCAGACGGAGGGGAGGTCCGTGCGGAGACCGTAAGACTGGGAGGAGCTCAGAATGTTCCCGCCTGAACCGGGTGAGGCGTGGCAGGACCCCTGTGGGGCTGGTGCAGTAGGTGGAAGCTGGACCTCCTAGTCCCTGGTGGGGAGCAGGGTCTACGCATAACAGAATTGGGAAAGCAATGAAGGGGGATAACATCGATTCTACTCATTAATCCCAAAGATGTTTGTTGAGGTCTCCTATATGCCCAGCATAAAATCTACCCAAACACTGGGGATAAGGCAGAGGGAGAAACAGCCAAAGAGTCCCACCCTAGTAGAACTTACAGTCTGATTAGGGGAGAAAAAAAGTGATAAACAAAGATAAAACAGAAATTGATCAGTGCTGTGAGAAGGGTTTGGAGGTGCTGCCCTCCCCTCCCAGTCCCCATGAACACTGTTGCAATGAACTCTGACAGCCAGACAGAAAGACCTGGTGGGTCTTTCCCCAGCTTAGAAATCCTCGGTGGTTATTAAGGTATCTATTTAAAATAATGTTATTAATCAACATCTGGAGACTGTAGCCTGGCATTCAGACCCCTCCACAACCTGGGTCCAACCTCCCTCTCCATCCTCACCTCCTTTTCTTCATGCACCAGACAATGTGTGTGCCTATCTCCTCAGCTCTGCAATAAGCTCAGCCAAGAGCAGGGTCTGTGGGTCCCTCTGTTCTGTGCCCTGATATGCCACCACCTTGGAGTCAGACAGCATGGTCTCTGCTCTTTGGTGACCTGGGGAAAAATGACTTCTCCTTGAGCCTTGGGTGCCCCTCTGTACAAAGGAGATAATTGCTCAGGTCCCAGGTGGCTGCATGGATGAAATGCAAGCAGGCTTGGTTGGGCAGCTGGCAGCATGGTGCCCATGGCAGGGTGTGCTCACTCCCTTCCCATCCCAGCCCAGGTCACAAGTCTCTTCCAAGGGTCAGGGATGGAGGGCCCTGCCTCCAGGGTCCTCACGGGCCAGTGAGGAGGGTGCAGTGTACCAACCGCCCAACACAGCAAGCAGAGCTGCACTGGGCTGGCACGGCAGATGCTCAGCAGATACTCACTGAATTATGGAATGAGCATGGCCAAAGGGCCACGGCAAACATGGGTTGAATACCTGGCTGCACAAGGGCCAGTCCTTGGTGTCCACCGAGTCTGCAGCTGGGGTCTGTGCCTCAGCCCCTGCCAAACCATTCACCCATCCTACAGTCTTGCTGGGGTCCCCACCCCATACACAGAGGCCAGGGTGGTTGCAGGGATGGGTGTCTGTGAGAAGCCCAAATAGAGCCGACTCCACAATGGAGAGGATCAGGTCAGGTCCTGCCTCAGAGCACCAACATGGTGCTCACCTGTGCACACGCACACTCCCACATCGACACACCACACACACAGTGGCCATGTGGGTGGGCAGGGCCCCAGCCAGATCCCCTGACCTTCTGTAGGCTATACACAGAGTGTGTGTGAGCCTGGCTGCTGGGATACCTGTAGGATTCTCCAGTGTGGGAGTCCTGGCCATTCAGCCAGGCAGTCCTTCCATGTGTGCGCCTAGTGGTAGAGCCTGGGAGCAGGCAGAGGTCCCGCAGGCGTGGTGTCTGTGTCAGCTGCCTCTTGGACACATGCAGAGCAGGACACGAGGAGCGCTGTGAGCTCTAGGAACAGAGGCTGTGGGGCAGCCTTGTTGGAGAGGCCTTCACAGAGCCCAGGCAGCAGGATTCGGGCCAGTGGATAGGAGGGAGCACCTCTCAAGGCCAGGCGAGCAGCTCGAGCAGAGGCCGAGAGCAGGGAGAGGGACGTGCGCACCCTGGACCCGCTGGTTCCAAAGAACCTGGGCTCTGCAGCTGGGTGTATTTTGATGTGGATCCTGAGCAGTCCCTTGCCTAAGGTGGCTGCCCAGCTGTCAGCGAGGTGCTAGAACCTCCATTCCGTGATGGTTGTGGGGTTACAGTGGGTCATACGTGGACGCTCCCAGCACAGCGTCTGCCAGAGAAGAGGCGCTCCATAAACCTTTGTTGCCAAATGAGTGTCACCAGCAGGAAGAGGCAGGGAGAAAAACCTAGAAAGATGGGCTGGCGCTGAGAAGGTGACTGGCCTATGGGGCCTGGGGAGCTGTGGGCAGCCCTGAGCAGAGAGGAGCCCAGCTGTCCCTAAGACGTTCACCTGGCACGTCTTTAACCCCTCAAACATCGTTATACTTACCATGAGAGTCATGGCTCTCTCATCCAGCGTGACAGCCTCAGCTTGTGCAGCTCATCTGTGATGGCCAGACACGCCTGGGAGATTGAAGTGCACATAATCTGCTGAGAACCCAGGGACATGAGAAGGAGGCGCGCTGTGCGGGTGGCAGTAGGGTGTGCGGGGACTGGGGGCTGGGGTCAGGGCAGGCTCCCAAGGCAGGCAGCCCCTCTGACCCATGAGCAGCAGCTTCTCCGGGCCGATGTCTCCTTTGTGCTGAGGACAGCTCCTTGCAGGGCGCCTGGACCGAGGGCTGAACTTCACCGGGTGGGAAGGGTGGCCAGGCCTGGTGTGAGGCAGGGCACTGCCACCAATCCGGGACGGGATGGCTAACGATGGGGGTCTGGCCCTGCTGCCCTCTGTGGGGATGCAGGGGAGATGGTCACCCAGAGCCGTGGCAGGGAAGGAGCCCTTCAGCTGCATGAGCAGGACTCAGGAAAGGGAACGTGCCAGACTCATGGAAGGGACCACAGCTGAGGGTGGAGACGAGCCACGCAGGGGCCTGGGGGTGGGGCCAGGGAGGCTGGTGATGGGAACACCCAGTCTCCAGGGCCGCCCCCCCATGGCCTGGATTTAAGATTTGAGATTGCACATAAAGCACACAGAGCGCTTGCTGTGTGTGGGGCGCTGGCCTAAGCTCTGCACCGATGTCAGGTGGCCTCCTCCTTAATGCAGTCCTAGGAGGTAGGTGCTCTCATCACTTTACAGATACGGAGACAGGCCCAGAGAGGTAAGGCCGCAGCTCAGGCCCAGCTTCCCTCGTACAGGAGGAGGCCCACGGGTAGCGATGGGAATGCCACCTGGGCTGACTTGGCCTGGGACTGTAATGGGGGCTGTGGGGGAACACTGGGGATCAGGGAGTGGCAGTTTTGTCTTTGAGCTGCAAGCTACCCATGTGCAGCGAGGTGTGTGGAGGGCTCTGCAGAGCCCTCGCCACCAGCCCCAGGCTGTGGACTCCATCCCGTGCTGGGTGAGAAAACCAACCTCGGGTTATATCCCTTCCCCTAAGGGCGCTCCTCTGAGAGGGTTAATGTCAGCGACAGTCTGGCCCTTGTGTCGGGCACCGTGGCCCTCCCAGCCCTCACCCACTGACCCTCCATGTCCTTCCTCTCCACAGGGAACTTCCGATGGATTGGGGTCCATAGATGACATCGAAACAGGTAACGTCGCTGATGGGATGGGTGGAGAGGGGGCCCAGGGACGTCTCAGCCCTCTCCCCAAAGAAAAACACTGGGTTCAGGAAAAGAGACCCCACCCGGAGGGGCAAACACTCTGCAGCCTGAGAGGGTGGGGCGGCCACCCAGCAGGGTCCCAGGTCAACAACTGGAGTCCACCTCTTCCCAGCCCTGCTTTCCCCTTCTCTTCCCCGCTGGCTTCCAGGAAGCGTCACATTTTTAAAGTGTCCCTTAGAGAAGGCATCACTTACCTCAGAGGATGGATATTCAGGCACTGAGCCAGGCCCATCAGGGAGGTGGAATAGGACTGAAGGGCCTGTCCTGCCCCACCTCAGCCTCCCTCACCAGGACTGAGCCTCCGCCAGCAGGGTCAGGCCAACGGGAAGGCAGTTACTGGCAGGAGCTAGGAAAGGAGGGAGGGTGTTGCTGGGACACGTCCCTGATTGCCACCAGCCAGGGCCCCCCGCGGCCACTGAGCCCACCCCCATCCGCAGACTGCTACGTGGACCTGCGAGGCTCCCCGGCCCCCCTCCCTTCTACTCCCACGATGCCACTGTTCCCTCACGTCCTGGACCTGCTGGCCCCCCTGGACAGCGGCAGAGCCGTCCCGAGCACTGAGAGCCTGGATGACTTCTCTGATGGGGACATCTTTGGGCCAGAGCTGGACACCCTTCTGGACTCACTGGTGAGCCATGCTGCTGCCTCCTTATGCTCCCCTGAACCCTTTTCCCTCCCAGGTACCCCATCACTTTATCCTCAGGTCACATGAGGGGCGAGAGAGGGTCCCATCTCTATGTTTTCAGTGCATCTAGAATCTGAGAATTCTAAGACTTACAGGGTTTAATTTGGGGGAAACAGAGGCCGTGGGAGGGAAAGGGGCCTGCTCAGGATAGAAACTGAAGCTGCGGGGTATGCAACCCGAAGGGACTGTGGGGACTGTACAGCCCCTGGACTGCACCCCACAGGACCAGTCAGGACGGGGGCATGGGGGTCAGCTTGCCTGGGACTCGCAGTGCCTGACTCTGCCCAGGCCTGGGTGGTCGAGCCCTCCTTTGACACCCGCTCTGTTCCGCACCTCACAGTCTCTGGTCCAGGGTGGACTGCCTGGCAGCAGTGTGCCCAGCGAGTTGCCCCAGCTGATACCTGTGTTCCCGGGGGGTACCCCACTGCTGCCACCTGTGGTGGGTGGCTCCATACCTGTCTCCAGCCCACTGCCCCCTGCCTCCTTCGGCCTCGTCATGGACCCCTCCAAGAAGCTAGCTGCCTCTGTGCTGGATGCCCTCGATCCTCCAAGCTCTGCGCTGGACTCCTTGGACCTGCTGCCGTACTCGGACACTGGGCGGGATGCCCTTGACAGCTTTGGGTCGGCCTGTGGCTCTCTGGACAAGCCCAGCTCCTTCGCGGGTGAGCCCTGGACAGGCACGTTGATTTGCCACTCCCTTGACAGTTGGCTAGTGCTGGCCCGGGCTGGTCAGGGTCTCCCAGCTTGCAGTCTGGTGTTCCCTGCCCAGCCTCCCAGGCCCCAGGCCCTGGGATTGGCAGGCTGGTAGGATCCCACAGGGGTGTCCTGAGGCTGGGGGAGGGGCTGCAAGGCCATGGGCTCCTCCAGCACGACTCTGAACTGAGTGCCAGGGACCCAGAGAGGAAATAGACCTGTTTCAGACTTGTCTGATTCCTAGGCAGTCAGACCTAGCCCAGAGAGCTCACAGCTGGGGGCATGCAAATGGGCTTTATTCAGCCTCCAGCCAAGGGAGACCTCCTGGAGGAGGTGGTGGCTGAGCGAAGTCTTGGAAGTCATTTGCCAGCAGAGAGAGCAAGATGACAGAGGCCTGCGAGACGGAGGGACTGGCTGAGCAACAGGGTAGTTGGCCAGAGGGGGAGGCGGGTTTAGGGCCTTGAAGACCTGAGTCTGGCCTCTGGGCCTATGAGTCAAGCGGAAGAGCCTGGGCTTTCTCCTGGGGGCAAGGAGGCTGTGGCAGGAGCCAGCACAGGGTGGACATGCTCAGGCTGGGATGCCCCTCCGTCCCTGGGCAGCAGCCATGGGGTAGGTCAGGGGACCAACACAAATAGGAGGATGTGTGGCTTGGACAGCTTCTCTGAATTCAAAATAATTAAGGGAAAGTCCTCGGAGGGCCCCTCATGCCCTCCAGAGCAGGGCAGGTGACCCCATGTGTTTTCCTTACCCAGAGGAAACCAGCTCACAGGACCATCGTCCCCCAAGCGGTGTTCAGAAACCTGCTCCCTCGGTGAGTGACATGCTGCGGATCAGTGGCCAGGCCCTCATGTGCTCCCAAGGGTAGAGGAAAGTGGAGTGTAAGCCCTCTGCATGGGATAAAGTGCTGCATCCCCTAAGGAGGGGCACCCCCAGAGCAGATGGGCCTGGTCCTTTCCAAGCCCTTCAAGATTAAACCTCATGTTGGGAGGCCTGGCTGCAGGCGGCGCCCACCTTGTCTGACAGAGGAGGACATCAAGGCTCAGGCAGGGTCAAGGACCTTCCCTGGGTCAGTTGCACCCGTGGTCTTGGTTCAGCCAGGCCCTGAGTTTAGGAGAGCACTTGACCAGGAGTTTGGCAGCCTGTTGTCTGGCCTCCGTGGCCCTGGAGAAGTCATCTAACCTCTCTGAGCCTTGGAGGCTGGGGGTGGGGAGTATAGCATGTACTTAGGCCCCGAGCAGGGCCACCCCTGTTCCTCTGCTTTCATATTACGCTTTCACTCCAGGACAGGTTCTAAGCCAAGATCACTGTCACCCACACAGCCCAAGAACCTATCTGGTCCTGATGTTTTGGATTCTTGGATCTTTTCCCCGGAGTTCCCTGGCTAGGAGGGTAGAGAAAGAAGGGAGGGTCCTGGGCTATAGTTCTGCTCTTGGGTGAGAGGGAGGGGTGTCACAGAGCTGCCTCACCTCTGGTGCCCAGGCTGGCCCCAGGGGCTCCAGCCGTCATCCAGTGCCTCCTGTCACAGCCAGAGCCCTCCATGCCCAACACTGCCTTGCTCATCAAGAACCCCTTGGCTGCCACCCACGAGTTCAAGCAGGCCTGCCAGCTCTGCTACCCCAGAACAGGTAATGTCACACTTCATACCCGACCCCTGTGCCCTGAGATGCTAGGGATCTCCGGAGCATAGAATCAAAGGATGATGATATCCTAGGGCACCAGTGAGAGAGAAGTGCGGGTGAACAGAAGTCCATTCAGGGATTTCAGGCAGACAGAGGGGTGACATGGGGGCTGGGAGCTTTCAGAACTGCTGGAAGTGCGCAGTTCCACGGGCTGGGGCTCAGGGGGCTGCTAGAACCTTGGCACCGTATCACAGCCACCCCACAGCCCAGAGGCCCATACCTGGCTGTGGAATGCGGAGCCAGCTGGTCGCTGTGAAAAGTACATCTGCCAGAGGAAAGCCCCCCTCACCCCACCTCTTGGTCCACCTCTTACCTGAGGGCATCTCACTTGGTGAATTCAAGCCATGCCTGGAACCCAAGTGGCAAAGGAGTCTGGGAAGTGTGGCTCCTAGGCTCCCGGCCTCCAAATCCAAGGGAGACGGTAGAAGCAATTCAGAACAGATGCCCAATGTGGGAAGGCAGTTTTCAGCGCATCTAGAATCTGAGACTTCTAAGACTTATGGGGTTTAATTTGCCAGAATCCCTTAGTTCTGAGGTTTAGAATGATACTCTCTTGGGATCCCAGGGTTAAAAATCTAAGCAGTCTAGAATGATTCTCCTCAGGGGTGTTGGAGGTGACAGAACCTTAGACATCATCTAGTTGCTGCCACCCACCCACTGCAGGACCTCTCCCTTCATCCCCCAACTCCTGTGTCACCCCTGCCCGAGTGTCACCCCTGGCAAAGTTCCCATGGACCTGCGGGGATGGGGAGCAAAGCGCTGTCTTGGTCGGTGGCTGTGCCCTTGAGGAAGTCCTTCCTCACACAGACTTCAGGCTTCCTCCCTGACCCGCATGCTGCTGACACAGCCAGGTTGCCTGGGGTCCCCACAAGCGCCGTTTCCTCTTGGTCTCTTTGGAGAGAGTCCCTAACCCTGTTGGGGGAAAGGAGGCCCTTGGTCAGAGGATCTGAGAGGACCCGGGAAGAGAAAAAGAATGAGGGGGAAATGCATCTGAGCAGTGCCATCCGAGGCAGGACAGGAGAGGGGTGGGCATTTGTTATGGCCTGCTCCCTGCCCCTGTCCCCTGCTCCCTGCTCCCTGCCTCCCTCCCCCT